ACAAATAAACACCAAACGTACTTAACGCTATGTTACAATGTATGACAGCAACAGCATCAAAGGCACACTTTTAACCTATTTTAATTCAGATTGACTTGAATCAGAATACTCATCAGAAATAGGCAAATTTACTTACTACTAATAATAATAATATATTTCTGCATGTGCAGGTACACAACGTTTTTACAGGTATGATCTATAAATTACAACATTTGTTGGTTCACAAAATGTTTCCCAACTTATTAAGTTTATAGTTGTTATAAAGTGAAATCATAGAGCGCTTGCTGTAAACTATGACCTTGAGAGGACGCGTACATCAAGTTTGTTCCAAACGTCAGAAGTTTCATAGCCGTTCTCTCAGAGCAAGATTCTGAAGAAGAAAAAAAAGAGAAACGGAAGAGCAGCAAGGCACTTGGATATGAACGTCAAACGTTGCTTAACATTGTGTAGTAGAACGGACAGAGGTATAATAAATTAGAATAAATTCATATTATGTCTTGTTAGTGAAATGAAGTCAGAGGCTCCAGATTAGAGAATGTACTAATAAAGAACAATGAGTTGTGATGTTGAACAAGTTGAAGTAAGCTCACATGAATGGAAGGAAGTCAAGGCTGGTACAAGTAAAGCGGTTTATAAGAAGGGTGTGTATATAAAGGATGAAGTGTTAAGTATATTAATGACTACATCTTTTATTGTCTTACTTTTTTTCCTTTTTTGTTTGTCCGATGCCAGCCACACAATCCTAGTGTAAAAATCCGAGTTAGCATGTTATAGGTTGTCTTGATAGAATAGCTCATCCAGCATAATATTGGAAACATGAGTTTGAGTGGTGAGCGTAGGAAAACAATCTATATCACAGATTGATTGACTTATTCTCAATCATGAGGAGCCTGATACATACAAAATGTCCTGTCCCCACAAACACGGGTGGATTGAAATTATCGCCCTCACCCTCCCTCCTTTTGTGATGTTAGGCTCCTTTAGCATTATTTTTGTATATACGTCATACCTCACACAATCCTCTGTTTCACAAACTGTTGGAAAGCACTATTTCTATAAGTACCATTTTACAAGCTTATCAAGCAGTTACAAGCTATGGACTGTGGGTAAAGCATCGATGAAGTGCCTCTGTTGACTATAGTATAAAGTACAGTTTGCCAATCAGAGTATAAGCGTTAAGAAGGGTATATTGTAGGATAGTTGTTTATTTAAGCAGGCGGAAAATGTATAGAAGTATATGAGTTGTGGATAAGGGAACGAGTGGAGAAATAATATTAATTGCTAGTCAACATAGTGTACTGAAGAGTAAAAAGTTAATACAGGATAAACAGGAAGGAACTCACAGTAACTTGGTGTTGATGTTATATTCTGTTGTCCTAACCAGTTGATTGGTAACTGGCTCCATAGATGCAAGACCACTGGTAGTAGGCAGCCGATTATGCGGTCCTCTTGACTAGACTGATCTGTTTCGTTACAAGCTTCAAGCACTATACTTAAGTATACCATAATTCTTTCAACTAAACTGAATTATACGACAACCAAGAATACTAAACTAAGCAAGTGTCATAGTTATTGTTTCATATGCACAGAAATGTTGCTTAAAGTAGTTAAATGGACATAATTAAGAGGATAAAACCAGAACACGAAATATAGGCCAGTCGAACTTACCTAAGAGAAGACAAAGAATATATATATTTTTTCCGACTGAAGACAACAGCCAGTTGTTTATAAAAACATAGTTTACAGTACAACAAATCTTTCTTCAGTAAAATCATGCACTGACAGTCTATCTGGAAACAATCAACTATGTGAATAAACTCACTATGACTTGAGATATCATCCCAGCGTGCAATGGACGTGCAGTGTAACGCAGTCGGACGTGGCGAATAAAAATTAAAAAATGAGCAAAATTAGCTACATAATCTAGTTATTTAATTAAAAATACACTATGAAATGACAAAACCTGTGGTTACTTGAACGCACAGATGACCGTTATTACACTGGGCGATACATTAAGTTTACTTGGTTGCGTTGCGGATAAGTTCACCCGCTACACAGATGCCGACTTCTATGAGCACGAAATAACCGATACATATGTACAATTCTTCGTATTAGTAAAGGCACTAGCGCGCAAATTTAACAGGTACGCCACACCTAATATGTTTACTAGTGATGTTTCGGGACCTTACGAAACTTTACAAACGATCTATTCTGAAACGTGGGGATCTAACTAATCGACATAGTTTAGATCAATTCCTTAATATTATCAATCTGCAACACATTTTAGTGATAGACATGTTGTTATTTTAAAATAAATTATTATTATACATCCATTTTTTAAAACTCATTGCTTTCTCGACTTTGTTTCGGGTCACTTAGTCTCGAATATCAATGACTGTACCCACATAAATAAACTTATTCGTCTAAGAAACATTTAACAAATCCACTACGCACTATCCGTCAAAATGCATAGTTCTAGTGTTCTCATAGGAAGCGGGAATTCAAAGAAATTCCTAGGACACAAACAACACATTGTTAACAAGTGACGCACTAAGACAACCCCGCATATTTGTATTCTATCCAAAAGACCATTTCATTTTTTCTGTTTCGTTTCAAGAAAAAAAACGGCTCTCCTCTGTAGTTTGGTGCTAATATTTCGATTAATGAGGATGATAATGCTGCACATCTGTGGGCTTGAGGTATAGGATGGTAATAATGATAAGTCTTCTAATTAAAAGCTAGGTTCGTGTTCCTAAGCTCTCTAGTACGCTTCAGGCTAAATCTTCATAGCTACTTGAACACAAGAAAAAAGGAGCGAAATATGAAAGGAACTCTTTATCCCAAGGTTCATTTATGCACAGGAAATCTAGGGCATTTATAATATTTTAGATGGCACTGGGATTCCGGAAATTCATGGAACGCTACTAAACATAATAGCAGTACAGATAGCCATCACACCTGAAACGTGACTTGTGATTTTTCATATCCTAGATAATTCTGGCAAAACGTCTTTTGAATGCTGATTAGATAGGATGATTCTCAATGTCTTCAGACCTTTATTAGTCTTTTTTTCGAGTTTTCTGATTCTGCCCGACACCTTCCTCCTTTCAAAAAATAAAACCTCTTCAGCTCTACCTACAAACTTGACAACTGGTTTCCTGCGAATTCTCGACTTTCTTGGTATCCGAGTCTATGAGTATCTGTTGGGGTTCCTATCATCAAACTATCTGTAATTATCTCCAGCACAAGACTCACTCGACTGTATTTACCTTCCTTTTTTCCCCGTGTATTTGATTAACGTGTACATTGATGGAGATGATAGGGTTAGGTGCAGTTCTACAAGCCCTTAGGAATTGCATAATCACTTGACTTGTCTCCTGGTAGGATTATGGTCTACTTGTATATTAATCTTCCCTTTTTCAGTAGTACTCTTTTCAATGTGTCCATGAAGCTCTCTGAAAATATCCATCAGCACCAAGTTAATAATCTCGCTCGAAGAGCACAGCTTTGGAACTCCTGACGTCTGGAACAAACTAAAAATACGCGATTTTCTAAGGTCACAGTTCAAACCAAGCACTCTACAAGGCTACATTAAGACTTTTCTGTTGTCTAACTACTCTATTAGGAATCACGTGATTCAGAATAATCGTTTACGACCCACAAGCAAACAGGTTGATAGAACGCTTCCACCAACAGCTTAAAACGTCACTCTCAGCAGAAACGTCTCGCAGTGGACCGACGCTCTACCATTTATTTTACCCAGTTTTTGCAATGCAACGAAACTTGACATTGGATACACGGTAGCTCAACTGGTTTATGGAATGACACTTTGACCTCCAGGAGAGTTCGTTGATCCTTTATCTTACTCAGTGAATATGACTCTAATCTCTCACGCGAGATGGCTTACAAGCGCCGTGCGTTCAGTTAAATATGTTTCGTTTCCGACCGCAATTAACTAATATTTTCTCTCAACCTGCTATGCGATGAAGTAAACACGTCTTTGTACGTCGCAACTCACTGCGACGACCTCTCGAAACGACATACGAAGGACCCTTTAAAGTCCTTCAGCATAAACCTAAGTACTATATAATCGATAGGAACGAAACTAACGATGGAATGAGCATCGATCTCCTCAAAGTCGTGTATTTAGAGGGAAACTCTAATCATGTCGATTTTTCTTCGACACAGTTGAAAGACAAGAGTCCCGAAATCAGAATACCTCACCTGGTAATCAACAATCGCGATGACACTTAGGTGGTATGTGACAACCGACTCCAAACGATGCGTCCTGGGGGAAGAGTATGGTTTCCCAAACACCTAAACAAATACTGCATGCAATACACTGCATAGCACCGTTTTGTCTCGATATTTTTGTATTGCGTCAATAAAACAAATCAAACAATTTTTAAAGTACCTTTAAATATACTTAATGTCTTCATTTTTGTTTTTTTCACATAAAACCAGAATGTCATTAGGCAAGAATCGTTTTTACGCCATTGCAAGTTAACGAAACGCATGTATATGAGTTTTTTCATTTTTCGCACGTTTTAGGTCTTTGTGTTTGTATGAGTGCAATTCGGCATATACTCTAATATGCTTTGTTTCAGGACGGATGAAAAAGATGAAAAGACCCACGAAGTTTACGATGGTTTGAACTTCTCATTGTACCTGTTTTCCATTAGTAAATGACATCACATGGCCCCTTACAGTAAGGCTTACTTTTCACCTGTCCAGCTGGCCTTTTAATTTTCAGATAAAAATGTCTTAACAAGTACACGTGTGATCAGACTGTTCGAAATGTATTGCGCAATTATATTACATAATTCTAATAAACTTCGATTTCTCTTTGCATTGTCGGAATTTATTCAAATTCATCGATGATGCTTTTACTATCATTTGACACAGAAGTTCGTTAAGCGGAAGCTTTTGCTATTCTGTACATGACAAAACAAACCATGTAGACCGCGTCTCTCAATTATAGCGTTACACTTGGTATGTAGCACGCTTTTAAAATAGGCTCGTTATAGGGTTTCCAGATAGTGTATATTCGGTGAACCAAATAATTTTGTAACAGAATTTCTTTGACTTTCATTATTTTTGCCTCACCACATTGTAGACCAATGTCGCTAATATTAGAAAATCAAAACGATATCAGCACCAGCTTCTATTTTTAAATCGTATTTATGAACGTTCAATTACTTTCAGATACACTGTAACTGGGGCTCCTACCTGCAAGTTTTGGTGAACTGGCAGATCCCAGTTCTATACAACTATCAAATAACAGTCTCATGTCCTAAACTGACCTGCGCACTTTTCTCATCCAGTCCCGGAGTAGGTAAGTAATGCACAAAGTGCAAGGCAAAGAAGTGACATTTGTATAATATATACGGGTCACCATAACAGGCGTTTCATGATGGTAGGGTTAATGGAATTACTACCACTGCACCCAATTACACATTGTCCATGGACGATAAATCGATCTATACAACTGTAACTACGCGCTAAGCAGATGGGAACAAGAAAGGTAACTTCACTGTGACACATCTGCAAATAGGGATCGTCCAAGCGTAACGGAACATTATCGACGCAACGCCTTCAATAGGTTGCACAAACTTTCTCACCCAGATATTCGTGCAACTATCAAGCTCATAGATTAACGATTTTGCTGACCCGGTATGAATAACAACGATAGGGAGTGTGCACGCTCCAGTGTACGCTGCCAGAAATCTAGGGTGATTATACACGACAAATAGCCCTTAATGACCTTCACGACTCATTTTGACCATGTTCATTCGGATTACATAGGCGTTTTACTATCGTAAACGATGGTTGGAGACTCTGGGTGACATGACTCAGAATCGATCACAAGGGCGTAAATGTATACACGCTCTGTCTTCTCTTGAACTATGAGATTAAAATTGCTTTATACTTTTCTTTCTACAAACTAATTCTTTCTTCATTTTTTATGTCCTTATATGCATTCTTTCTTTTTATATATTACCACCATTGAATTAACTACTTCTATGAATTTGGTGTTCATCTCGTTGTGCTAATGAGGTGTGGCAACTTGGACCGACGCATATATGTGTCTGGTCCTACGTTGTAGCTGGTTGACTGATTAGTTTTTAGCATGGTACTGGAATGTGAACGAAAATTGTTTTTACAGGACTAGCATTTGTCGGTCCTTCACGGCTCCAGGTTAGAGGTCCTAGAAATAATGTAACAGTAGTTTGAGATGTTAGATATGACCCGTAATAGAATCCAGTGGAGGTCCTGCTCCAATTTTCTTTTGCTTTCTCCATAAAAGTAAGAAACATTTTAACTGACAGGATTCTTTCTGGTTGTAGTTTTTCCTCACTGAATGGTCTCTCTAGTTATATACTACTTTCACTACTACTTACTTATTCTTTACCTTGATTGTACAGTCCTTTCCTCTTCTATCCTTTCACAATCTCATTTTCTTATTTTGTGGCATATATTTGTTTTGATACATCTTTGTACCAATATTTGTGTTTTTAAATAAATAGACTGGCAAAGAGTTTATGCAGTAATGAAAACAAAAAATCTGGAAAAGGCTGGAGCGATATGTTTTATTTTTTATCTGAACACATAAATATTGGTACAAGGGGGCACCAGATATATATGCGCCATACAAAACAATGAGAATGGAAAGAGAAAAAGAAGGTAAGGTGCGTATAAGAAAAAAAGAACAGTAACGACCACAGATTAATGTAAGGTAGTGTAATAATAATAATAGTAATGAGGGAAACGGAAAAGTAAAATCAAAAGAAGTCTTTCAGTTAAGGAAGAGACAACCATTTTTTATAAAGAAAGCAAAAGGTTACAGAAGGATCGCCATTGGCTTCTATTCTGAGCCATATCTGATAATGTCTCTACCCACTGTTGCACTATCTCTAGGACCCCAGTCAGGGAGTCGTGAAGAACCAACAGAAGCCAGCCCTTCGCAGCTTTCTTTCATACCACAACACCATGTCATACACTGACCACCTCTCCGCTTTTTCCAACCAGTCCCAGAGTCGGCAAATAATGCATGACGTGGAATTCTCAGGGACGACATTCGTAGAACATGTCCAAGACACCAAAGTCGGTGTTTCAAGATGGTGACACCAATCGCATTATCGTCTCTGCGCCCGAACACACTAAGCCACAAGTGTTCAGTCGCACTCTTAACACATTCGTTTTCAGGTACCTCAAGAATAAGCTTCTTTCTACAATATAGGCAACTGGGAGGTATCGTTCGCTCTCATACCTCTATAACTTACGAAATCACCTCATTTGAAATCAACCCTCCTCTTCATTAATAAATATTCTACTCCTACAACCATTTTTCATCTGTTGTCGACTTTTACATGTAACCCGAATACTAACGACTTAAACCACATTTTAAACTACTTATTGGAATTTTCAATTTTCGAATCTTATGTCAAATAAGGCAACAGGAGTCACTAGCTTAGGCCACAAAATCTCGCGACATATGTCTGCTGTATCCGAAGCAAACGCACAGTAACGCAGTGTACTCATTCAATTGATTTCACCTGCCCAACAGGATATTCCTTCCGTATATATAAGGATGGAATAGCAGCTTCTCGTTGTAGGGAAAGTATAGCACTAAATGTGAAGGAACAGTCTCACAGACTTAATTCTAGGAGATAGTCACTTATGCATTAAACTGTACAATAAGGACTCAAAAAGATAGACACGCTATTGCCTCTCTTTTCTTCCATATAGCAGCTCTGATTAACTAAAAGATTAGTTGCGCAAAAAGCTTTCGAATCTCTAGTAGGCCAAACATTCAGACTTAATAATAATAATAGGTGATTTTAACGCCAATCAGTAGTCTGAAAAACAAGTGGTTCTCTTAGCGTTTCAGAACAACAAAAAATAACAGTAACCGTTTTCTGCAATCATGCTCAGATAACTACAGCATCCTAGCAGCTATTAGCCGTAGATTTAAAGAGGGATATTGTCTAACTTGATGACTTCAAACATCAACATAACAATAGATACAAATAGACCATATCGCCACCGTCTTTTTTCAAGTCTCAGCAAAAGACTTTCAAATCCCCTGTAGTAATGGTTAAACACCTATCATACTCAAATGAGGTCACGCATTTGTATGCCTTTTTATAGACATAGAAAACCCATACCAGGAAGACCCTTTAGATATCAATTAAGAAATGAAAAAGTCAAAAATATATTGAGGAGGAATTGGCATAGTACTTAGTCAGTGATGAAGCAAAATTTCGTTCTAAATAAGCTGTGTTATCCAATTGGCTGTACACAAAGCAGGGATTTCTGCTGTCAACCTAAATTAAAATGTTACGAAAAACCAGCGGATTTCGGTGACATCTATTGAATTGTTATATCATCAAAAACATCCCAATGAGTTCAATAAATAACAAAAGGCGATGAAAACGTAAACGTAGACTAATATACAATGAATATTGTCGCAGCGATTCTCATATTATACCTTATTTACGGATACTGAGACTAACTAGAAAAAGTGGAGAGGTGATTAGTTAGACGCAGGGTATCAGGAAATGATGGTAAATCAGTTGATGAGGTTGTGAGTCTTGGTCGAATGAAATGGCTGGGCCACGTGCTACGTATGCCTGAACACCGATTACCACGACGCGCAATGCTGAATAGTGTTGGCGATGGTTGGAAATTAGGGGCGGACAAACTAAAACATGGAATCAGTGCTTGAAGTCACTAATTTCTAGTCTGAGCCATGTTTTTAGATGCAGACTACTTAGTTGGGGTCCGCGTGACCGTCATAACCAAGGGTTGGATACTCTGGGCAACATGACTCAGAATGGATCACAAGGGCGTAAATTTATACACGCTCTGTCTTCTCTTGAACTATGAGATTAAAATTGCTTTATACTTTTCTTTCTACAAACTAATTCTTTCTTCATTTTTTATGTCCTTATATGCATTCTTTCTTTTTATATATTACCACCATTGAATTAACTACTTCTATGAATTTGGTGTTCATCTCGTTGTGCTAATGAGGTGTGGCAACCTGGACCGACGCATATATGTGTTTGGTTCTACGTTGTAGCTGACTGACTAGGTGTTAAACGGATACTCTTACTCCATGTTCAGAAGCAGTACACATAAAAGACGATACTGCTGAAGCAGTGACCCGTGCCTTCGTCAAACTATATGTTCGGAACTTTGGCTGCCCTCCCATTATCAATAAACACCGTGGACGTCAGTTCAAATCTGAACTTTTCTGTTGTCTAACTACTCTATTAGGAATCACGTGATTCAGAATAATCGTTTACGACCCACAAGCAAACAGGTTGATAGAACGCTTCCACCAACAGCTTAAAACGTCACTCTCAGCAGAAACGTCTCGCAGTGGACCGACGCTCTACCATTTATTTTACCCAGTTTGTAGTACTTCACCAGAGTCTTGAATAGGGGTCTCGGATAGACAACAGACGTCGATATTAAGACTCCAAAGACATAGTTAGCCCTATCTGTTGTCCGACCTGCATAAGTGTGCGAACGTTGAAGGAAGCCAGTTTGAATGGTGCACGTGGTTTCAGAAAAACTGCTTCAGTATTCGTATTTGGTGGTAGCATACAATTTTTAACCAGGCAGTGGCTCGAGAACGTTTAGATAGAACTGAGTTTCCACCATAAGCGAGCTACTGTATAAGTCGAAAAATAAGGATACATAAAGCGGAAATAAAAGAGAGTGAATAAGTGACGTAAAAATAATAATGATTTGAATTGTTTGACTTTTAATCGAAACGTGAATAGTATTTTCAGTAAATATAGTCATTTTATTTGATTTGTGTGTGGGCTGTGACACTGCACGGGTTCCCGAAACAAAGCAGGTAGTTTTTTTCTACGGGGTTGAATAATGCTTCTCCTTTGATGCTTAGTGCATCACTGAACGCATCTAGATTGCACGTCTGTGCCTCAGAGTCTTTGGATAAGCTCACATTAAAGGAACTTTTTAAATGAACTGGAGATTGGTTTGGATTACTTGACTAGGATTCCCAGTGTTGATCTGAGTTGTAGCAGACATTGCGAGTAGATTTTGTCTGATCTTCATAAAACTGTGGATGTGATAAATGTTTACTTTTGATTGTACATATGCTTCCGAGAACTCTATCAGATTATGGTACTGAAAAATGATCACTTAAACAGGGTAGAACTTTCAACAAAACAAGCTGCCAAGTGAGTTAAATAAAATTACTAACAGAATGAAAATAAAAATTCGAACCCGAAGTAAAATAAGTTTGCTCATGATAAAATACTTGTAAATTTAGTTCGGATGGATAGTGATGGTCCCCAAATTAACGAAGGCAATTTTACGGGGGGATTGCTGCAAGAGGTCGTTATATAAAGGTCTAGTAGAATAGCGTCAAAAGGGTTAATAGAACGACGTCAGGAGATTGACAGTCGGGACGAGTTTAAATATCTTACGTACGCGTGAAAAAGCCAGACACTTCACATGTTATCTCATGGTCAGATGTTAGGTAGGAGATCATAAACACGGCCTTAGAAATGGATTATGTACCAGGTCAATTTCTTGCCCTACATGTTTTTGTCTGATTCAGAATGAGGGATGTATATGTACCTTTGATCTTTGTACATTCAAGTTCGGTTTAACAATTAAACTGTGTTCTCCCAAATTCTGACTTCTTCATGTCCCTTTTTTCCTCTTTCCAAATTTATTTCACTGAATTATACTCTTTAAATAACATCTCCAAACCCTAATCTTCCCGATCACTGCTTACACTCTTGCTACCTCTACCACTACGGGATTTGGATCGACAACTGCATCTCTGTGTTAAGGTGGTGTGGCAACTCGAACTGATGTACGTACGTACGAAGTTCTACGTTGTTACTGACTGACTGACTTAACAATTAAACCTTCCTACCTGTTTCAATTTTCTTATTTTAACAGTGGATCTAGTCAACCGTAGGAAGTGTTTTTCGTTGCCCACGAATGCCCTGGTACAGTCCGATAATTGGGAGAGTCCTCTCGAAATGCTCTCACATGGCCACTCATATACGGCCATGAGCAGGGAAGTTCTTCTCACTGCCTTCTCGCTTCAGAGGTGTTGTTTAACAAGATCGAGAGGGAAAAAAGCGAATGTCCTGTGTTTCAGACGGGTTGCTGGATATAGAGGATCCACCTAGGGAAGTTGGAAAAATATGATTCCAAACCAATGGTGTACATGGGCTCCAGAATTCTGAGGGAACGTCGCTGTACTGCCTCATGGATTAGACCAGTAGGTCAAAGACTTGGGGTGTAACCTACCAAGAAGACCATCTGTTTCGATTCAGGTGCCCGGGTAGTATTCCAGCCTTCACACAAATTAAATAACAAAGTGTGGCGCATATATATTTGGTGCCTCCTTGTACCAGTGTTTGTGTTTAAATAAATGGTGTTTTTCGTAAGTGAATCGGATTAATAGCACAATAAAGGTTCAACTAGGCGGGGTGGGTTTAATATTTCTTCGTTAGCAGTGATCAAGTTACTACCCGAATACTTGGGCTAAAACATTACTTCTTTAAAGAATTACCCTCCAAGCTTTTAACTAAGATATCTACTCCAGAAGGAAGTAAAGCAGCGTTGGGGAATGAAATGTGATAACCAGTGAGTAAAATAACTTCGTATGCCACGCGTACCCTCAGGATCCTAAAGGCATGTCAGACATGAATTAAGCGTGTTACTCACGTCTTAGTTTCGTTGGTGCTTAAATAACTTACAGGACACTAGTTACAAGAATAAACATGATTAAAAGACATTTTGTACGTAATCATGTAATTCTACTACAAAGGAAACTTATTATTCTGCCCTAATGATCTTATGCCTGAAAGCTTGCTCCTGAGCAGCCACCTAAAATTTAAAAAAATGTATGCTAATTTTTTGGTAAGACATTTATGCATACTCTCATGAACTAAAGCAAACTACATTTTGAACTTATAAAGTAACTACTGAATTCTTTAGTTTAGTCAAGTGAGTGCATTGAGAATTTGACAACATACGGTTTTTTCATCGGACTTACTCTTCATGTACTGTGTTAAAATATGTAAGTTATATTTACGTGCAACATTGTATGATCATTCCAAGGATTAATTTTTTATGGTTTTCATAGAGTTTACTGGAAAATGTACATAGGGATCAGGTTATGAGTTAAGTTTGGATTTATTCCCCTTATTGGCATGATTTTACAAACCTTTACATGATGATTGTTTTTTAGGTCAGCGGTCCCTCTACATGCTCATCTCACTAAACACAATTTATCTCAACTATCGTTCTTCGAGAATTGTCATTCATTAGTTGTCTGGTCTGTTGTTATAATCTTCTATTTCATAATTTAAATTATGAATCAAAAACATTATCTTGTTCCATCATTTCTGGCCTCAAAGGGATTGGTTAAACTTCACATCGACTCCTTCAATCATTTTATTCAAACAGAAATAAAAAATATTGTCCGTGCAAACAGTCGTGTCAGTGTTCCAGAAGCCAATTGGTGGTTAGAGTATAATGACATATATATCAAACCTCCAACAGTAAATGATGGAGGGGTTGTCGCCAGCCGTGTTACTCCTCATGACTGCAGACTCCGTGACCTAACATATGCTGGCGAAATTCTTGTTGACGTTACGTTTGTTAGACAGAACGAAGTAGTATCGAAAAAAGGTGTCCTTATTGGTCGCATGCCAATCATGCTAAAAAGTTCCATATGTGTACTAAATGGTAAGCCTCCGTGGTAGGTTACAAACATGTGAATTTTTTCAATCCTCCTAGGTTCTCTTTAATGTTCCGTTTGTGTTAATCTTCCATACTAGTAGTTACACCTAGTATACACTTGCATCAATACTTTCGTTTGTCACACTACTTAGTCTTACGTCTACTCTATTTGAAGTACCTAAGTATTAGTGCTTTTGAAATTGATTTGGAAATTTGTAAGGTAACTTTAGGAGAACCTAGTAAATAATGTTTTTTTAAAATGAAACAGAGTCTTTTAATGGTGATCATGTGCTTCATACCACAAAAAGTTAATGTATTTATGTAGTTACGGTCGACCGCTTCACTTACCTTGGGAGTCTCATCAGCCCTTGTGGTCTGTTGTGTGACGAAATCTCAGCACGGATACAGAAAGCTCGACTAACTTTTGCCAACTTGCGTCATTTATGGCGTAGGCGAGATATCCGTCTATCAACCAAAAGGTGTGTTTATTGCGCAACAGTTCGCTCCGTCCTACTTTATGGCAGTGAAACATGGCCGGTAAGAGTAGAGGATATTCGTAGGTTACTAGTATTTGATCATAGGTGTCTTCGAAGCATTGCTCGCATATCCTGGGACCATCGAGTAAGTAACGTAGTTGTTAGGAAACGGGTACTAGGTTAGGGTGGCAAGTCAATTGATGAAGTAATGAGACTTCATCAGTTGAGATGCTTTAGACATGTATTACGTATGCCTAACGACCGACTGCCTCGACGTGCGATGTTTTCTGGTGTAGGAGTAGGTTGGAAGAAAGCTGGGGGCGACCATACCAAAACGTGGCACAAATCCACGAAGTCACTGACAAGTGAACTGCGTCATGTTGGTAGGTGTAGATTATCTGGTTAGGGACCACGAGATTATAGCAACCGATGGTTAGAGACCTTGAATGACGTGGCTCAAAATCGTTTGCAATGGTGCAAGTGCATCAACTCTTTGTTTTCTCCCAAATTCTAATCTCATGAATCCTCCTTGTATCGTTTTTTCTCTTTCCAAATTTATTTCACTGGATTATACTCCTTGAATAACATCTTCAATTCCTAATCTTTCCGATTACTGCTTATACTCTTACCACATCTACCACTATGGGATTTAAATCGATAATTGCATCTCTGTGCTAATGTGGTATGGCAACTTGAACTGATGTACGAACGTACGAGGTTCTACGTTGTGACTGACTGATTTATGTAGTTTGCAAGTCGTGTGAACGATAATGCCTTTTTTGATGTCAGACGAGCTTTAGCTAGAATTTTTTTACAATTTGGAGTACCAAAATATTCAAGCACATCAATCAAGTATTTTCTTTGTTGTTGGTTTCTTTATTAATCCCGTCATAATTAATCGATTGTGTAGCTTGTAACGCATTGGCTTAAATACTATTAATTTACTGAATATTGTTGTTCATGGGGTCGAAATTCCCTATTGACTAATGGAAAGTAAACACATTGTCCACAGTCGGTTGAGACTTATGTTGTTACCAATGTGTCTAGACCTTCATTTATATTAAAATACAACTCATTTATTTTACTCCATAGCTCATTGTCACGTCACTTAACAATATTGGTGTGGGCCACAACGTTTACCTGCTTATTAAGTTGTATTATCATCTTTTAAAATTGTTCTGTTGCTAATTCTTAATAAAGATATTAAAATGATATATCAAGGATGAAATAGATTTAATCTATTCACTTGTTGCAGTTGCATTAGACAGTTATAAAAGTACGTCATTTTTTATTGATTCCACATTCAAGTCCTGATACATTGGGGGATCAAAAACTCTAACACAAATGGAAGTAATTGTTGTGTTAAGAAGTGAAAGAGAAAAGTTATATAATAATAGTTATCGCGTAATTTATTCGCCAATCAAAATATGACTTATTCGCCCTTGTACTGCACTAAACCAATGACGTTCCTTCGATCTGGTCAGCCGAGTGTCCTATTGGTTCGTTGCTCGCCTAGCCCGTCCAGCCGAGTCGAGAATGCCAACAACAGCTTCCACTATGCGAATAATTTATTTCAGACATACTGCGTTTATACATCAACCAAACAGACCTCACCGCACCATAAAATAGGAAATAACATTCATACACAATGAAGCCAAAAAGTAGCTGTGAACGTGGGAGACAATAATTAATAAACTGAGTATAATTTAAGAACAGTAAATCGTACAATAAGAATCTATAGGTCAAAATGAAGCTTATAATAAGATGAATATAAATATACACAATCTAATTACCGAATAGTTATACCATAAGAATATATAGATAATATTTGTCCATTAAAAGGTCTCAGAAGTTATTCGTAATTTAATCTTCACTAGGATATAACAATATCAGTCTTGAGTTTCCGCATAAATTCAACGAAGATAAATTTTATTTCTCAAAGCTAAACCTCTCTTTATAAAAAGTACAGTATTGTAGTAGAATCAATACAGGCCTTTGTTCTGACCAAATATCTAATTACGTCTCAAGCCACTGAGTTGCTTAATTTCTGGGATTCTATGCAAGGATTCATAATTTTCTAGTAAATGTTAGCCAGTCACAACTATTCTTCATTTTTAGCTCAACAAATTACTTTTAACTATTCAGAATCCATAATTTCTCAAAATTTTTAGTTTATCTACTACTTATGCAGTGATAAGCAAATAATCGAGTCGTTTGCAGTTTATTTCAAATATCCCCTTCGTTAATTTCCTGTTTTAATCCACGTCTGTTTAAATTCTCACGTTTAATTTCCATGCAACTACCGAAGTTACTTTAGTTTAGATAATTGGAAGCCCTCAATAATATGACTCGTTTCTTTTTGGGGGTACTTATCTACAGGCTATCATTTTTATGTCCATTAAATGAATTAGGTAAAAGTCCTTCGGAGCTTATGCGACTTAAAGAATGTCCATTGGATCCTGGCGGTTACTTCATTATTGGTGGTACTGAAAAAGTAGTTCTCATGCAGGAACAAACTTCCAAGAATCGTCTGATCATTGAAGAAGATAGTAAACGTGGATTAGTGTGTTCTGTGACATCGTCCTCTGCTCAAACGAAATCTAAGACTAACATCGTTACGAAAGATGATAAATTTTACCTTTCTCATAATTCCTTCATCGTGGATGTCCCTATCGCCATATTGTTTAAAGCAATGAACATTACTTCTGACCAGGAACTATTGCAACTTATTGGGACAGAAGAATCTGTTTGGGCTAACTTTGTTCCTAGCCTTAAATTATGTTTGGAATATAATGTAAGTTGATTCACTTGATACTTGTTTTACATATTTTGCCAACCTTTCAGCATACTATGGGCTAAGTTTTGAGGCCGAAGAAATAGCCTTAATACATGCTTCTTTATATCTCCAAATTAAGTCTTTCGGAGCCAACGTTAGTCTCCTCCTCTGAGTAAGAGTACAAGCTCTCTTTATAATAGTACTAAATTCTTTATAATCTGGAATTTTTTGGCATATGACATCACATTGCAAGTTTTTCGTTTCCTACAGATATTAGCCATGGTTATAGTGTTGTATTTGGTGTATATTCTGACATATGTCTACATACAATAGAATTATATGTTCTCAGTTAGGGTTCTATCTATAGTTCCTGCGTCTGCATGCTGTGTGGTCTTTGGACTATTAAAATGTAGCCAATTATTCTGTTACAGGATTGTTCCAACTGGAATTTTATGAACATATGATGAGACTTCATTCTGCTGCGAACTTTGCGACTTGCCAGTTATATTTTCTGTCTTCAATATAGTTATAACTGGAGCTTGGTTTTGAAATCGGCCTCATTGAATCACTGGGAAGAATAAAATACAACTACTGCATCCTCTGTACCACTGCTTACTGACGGCCCATTTAAGAATTGACGTATATGTTCTTCCGTCATACATTCATTTATCATCTTTTCATAAAATGCATTAGTGATATTAATGATTGCATCAATTATTTGTAAAACAGGAAACCAGACTGATTCAGCTTATCTGTCTGTAATTTTTCTAGAAGAATTTCGGCCGAAT